TAAGGAAAATAATAAAGAAACTCAAAGTAAATGATGATTAGTTTTCTAGATGAACTATCCCTTTAAGAGGGTCCAACTGAATGAATGGTGAGAACAGCACAGGCTCATTCTGAAAACGTAGCCCTGTTTCTGGAGATCGCGAATGATGTAGGCAGAGGCATGTATGTCTGCATTTCGTCTTTAAAACGAACGCTACAGAGCAGTATGACACCGCTCATCATCGCGCTTACCAGCTGACCGCTTACCTACTGTTATCAGTTTGTCCAGTTAGCTCACCGATGACGACGAACTTAAGATTCAAGTCTGACAAAGAATGGTTGCAGAAAGTGGGTAAGACAGAAACAGAAGCCAAAAACTGCAATAACCTGAAGTAAATAACAGGGTGAGAGTGTGGTAAGATCTGTACATGTGGTAAAAATCAGACGAGGGCTTTTCTTTTTCTGGAGTGGTTTTGAAAACTCAATTGGGTATAGGGAAGGCGGTGAACGGGTTAATCTGTGCTTTTGAAAACACTATTGGTTGGGTTTAGGAAAGGAGAAGAGTGGGTGAGCTGATTGGTCTGTCAGTCAGTCAGTCGGCAGTGGCCTCTGGAGGAAAACAGCGAGAACAGCAGGCGTGAATTGCACTCGCAAGCGAAATTTAAGATGTTAAAAAGCCTACACAGCGGCCTCTAGTGGATTCCCGAAAACAAAAACTACAAAAAACCCTCACCACTGACATGTATTTGGCGCTCTCCAGAAATGTGTACAGGGTACATTTTCAGAATGAGCGTGGGTTGGGTGAGAAGCAACGTTGACGTTGTATTTTAATTTGTTAGTTTGTTATAGGATCGGCTAGTGTTGAAAGAGCTTATTTTAAACTCGTCCAGTCGACGTCTCTATACCCCATAAAGGACGCCAGCTGGTTGCGCTCTCACTGTGTGAATCAAAGTCTTATTTATGCGGTCCCGTTCATATTCAGGCCAGTAGAGGACCTGCACACAAACCTGCTGCTTGTGTAAGAGGAGCACGTGCACGTGCGAGAGCAGAAGTGTGTGTGTGTGTGTAGGTGTTTGTGTAATGTATTTTGTGCACATGTTCATGAGTGTCACTCAGTCGGCATTTGCATGCACACATTTCTCATTTAGCCATTGGCTGCTGGCGGAGTCTTTACTGGTGTGTCTCGTATGTGAAATGTGAGATCCCAGACCAAGCAGCTTCTTTTAAAAGCATTACGTATCAGCACTGCCTGCTCAATACCTCAGTACAGTAGCATTAAAGTAGATCAAATAAACAGCATCAGGACTGTACAACACATATGATAATACACGTGTAGGAGAAGCTGCAAGGACATTACTATGGGGTTTGTAGGTAGTTGCTCATTGGCTCGCCTGGATTTTTATTTTCTTCTTTTTTTCTGTTTGATGAAGCTAAAATTGATCGTATAAAGGACCGTATATGTTGATTGTATAAAGTAAGAGTCCTTTAGCAGATTTTGAAGTAGACTTGGCACAGCTCATGGTTGAGTAACGTGGATAAATGAAAGATGCATGCGCATGACAGTGTTATCCAAGACTTTACATCACCTGGTGACCTCATAGAGGACAGGCTGCATAACATGCTTAACGCAAGGTTATCTAAGACTGAAATCTTGTGTACATTAAGGTAGAGTATGGTAAACTGGTAAATCATGACGCTTTTTCACTTTATATTGTTGTGAATAAGGACATATACTGGAGAAGAATGCGAGTTATAGCACTCATTTAAATGCAGTCGCATAGCTGTGCTCTTCAGAATACTTGACTGATTTAATATAAACGGTTTACAGTTACTGATGTTTATGTTGCTGTGGCTTTAATTAAAGATCATTTTCAATAGTGTTTAAAAAACAAATCATGATCATTTTGTGAGATCCGTGGACTTCGTGGTATTCCACTAATAATACACACAATGAGGGGTGTGTCAGAGTCAAAGCTGGTCACGAATGTTCAGTCTGAAAGTTTGGATATTTCTCTTAAAGGCATATGCAAAACAATGCGCTGCCACATGTGTGCAGGTGAAGATGGGGGAAAACATTTGTGGTCAATAAATCTAACTGAGCTAATCACTCTAATCTATTTTCAGTACATGTGTAATGAAGAATCAGCTATTGTTTCAGAAAAATGAACAACCCTGGCTGGTTCTTCTTAAGTGATCTTGTGTAATGTGAACTCAAGGACGCAACAGGGAAAATGATCTTCTGATTGAGCCACAACAACACAGTCTGCCTAAAATAACACCACACAAACATTATTATAGTGGCTTGAGAAATATTCTTCCGAGACTAATTTTCTAAATGCATCTCCTCCTAGACCGATCATACTACAACCACCAAACATCCAAACAGGTCTGACTCGGGTTGCTATATCTTTTTCAACTGATCCGACTTGCGGAAACTGTCCCTGAAAATTCGGAAAAGTCCTTGATGACTTAACATTGGACCAAACTTTCTGGTCTCGTAACTTTGTGCCAGACTGTCATACATTTTACTCAGACTACTTGATATTTTATAGTCATCTGCCATAAATTAAACCCGTTTACTTGATTAGGTGGCAGTCTTCAGTTGGACTGGGCCAATGTTAATTAGTGAACTCAGAGTTCAAGACTACTTTTACCCTGTGCAAACATTACAGGAATGTAAAATCAAACACACAGAGCTCCAGCAAAACCTGGAGTGAAAGCACATTAACCAAAACCCAGTTGCTTAGAAAGCGGGAAACTGTATGTTTGCATATATACACACACATTTATTCATTTTCTTTTCAGCTTAGTCCCTTTATTAATCAGGGGTCACCACAGCAGAATGAACCACCAACTTATCCAGCAGCAGATGCCCTTCCTGCTGCAACCCATCACTGGAAAACATCCATACACATTAATGTACACACATACACTACGGACAATTTAGCCAACCCAATTCACCTGTACCATATATAGCATCCAGAGGAAACCCATGCCAACACAGGGAGAACATGCAAACACACAGAAATGCCCACTGAGCCAGCCGAGGCTCAAACTCATGACCTTCTGCTGTGAGGCGAATGTGCTACCCACTGTGCCAGCCATATGTACTGTATATATATATAAATATGTGCAATGTGGCGACCCTAGATTAATAAGGGATTAAGCTGAAGATGAATGAATGATATATAAAGCTGAAGTCAAAACTATTCACCCTCCTGTGAATTTCCTATTTTTTTCTCAAATGATGTTGAACAGATTCTGGAGATTTCCACAGTATTTCCTATATTAGTTTATCTTCTGGTGAACGTCTTGTTTGTTGTATATCGCCTGAAATTAATGCAGTTTGTAATTATTTTTAAACCATAAACCATTGTTAATGATTTGCCTAATTACCCTAAAATGCCGAATTACCCTGGTTATGCCTTCGAATGCCATTTTAAGCTGAATAGCAATATCTTAAAAATATCTTGTAAAATAATATCAATTAATCAATTAGAAATATTTACAGACATAAATAATTAATAAATAAATAATAATTAAATTATAATTCTGACTTTATGCATATATAAACCATATACCATACACAAAAATATAACATTTAATCATTTTTAACATTAAAATGGTGTGTAATATATAAATATATTAAAATATAACATGTCTAATGTCTTAAAAATGTCTAAATGTTATGTTTAATGGTGTGAATGACTAATATGTGCAGGGCTGATCAGCTGCTCCATTAAACAGCAGAATTTTTAGTTTTCCCATCGTTCCCATAATAAGGTTCAAATGTGGCGAATTTTGAACTCCAGGTTGCAGCTGTCATTCATGTGTATGTTGCGATGTCAGTTTGATGTACATAGCATTATCAAAATATTCTTGTTGACATCTTGCAGTTAAAACGGTCCGATAAACTCACTACACAGACAGCGTGAGCGTCCTTCTCGCAGGCCATGCCATGAGTGCAGTGTAAACTTTATCGTCTTTATCGCCATTATTCCAAAATAAGAGCACTCTAACCAAAAGCGGGAGACTATAGCAACCTCTGGCAACACAACCTCTCCAATTCAGCGCCTCGCGATAACGTCATATGAATCATATTCATTATCATTTGACAGTAGCAGAGGAACACCATCAGATGTAGTGAAGTAAGAGTAATGATTTTCTCTAATAGTTTACCTGAGTAAAACTACACATATATAAAAGTAATTTTACAATAATTAATCCTGAAAATGCCAAAGCAAAGCCAACACTAGCAGATTACTGTGGTGTAAATACAGCACTACGACATACAGAAGAGAGAGATGGACTTAGAAATTCACTGACCTGTTCTATAGGGGTTTGATCAGCTGCAGTTTGAAACTTGCTGAGGAAAGGCTGTTTTTCTTCCTTAAGGACTTATTATGCGGTCTCTGTGGCCATCTTGAGGACTGAAAGTCAACCTTCTTCGCTCTGCTCAGTATGATTGGCTGGCCGCTGAATCTCTGAAATGATCAATATTTAAAATGGGCACTATCCTTATGAATAAATTCAACTCAATTGATCTTCAAATCATTTCAAAGTCCAAACACTGAAGAGCAAATCCATCCATGCGCAGCTCCACAAGTCCCAAACCAAGCAGGACAGTGGAGGAACAAACTTCACCAACTGACCAAAGTGAAGGAGAGAAACCTGGAGAGAAGCCAGGCTCAGCTGGGCTCCACCATTTCTCCTCTGGCCACACTTCCTGTGCAGAGCTGCAGTCTAGGTGCCCGAGGCTGGAGAGTGCTGGACGTCCATCATGGAGAAGCTGCAGGTGTGAGCAGGTCACCGGCGTATGTGTTCAGGCTGGCCCACAGGATCAATGCAGAGACTCGTCTGTCACTGGGGTCTTTCAGGAATCTCATGCTCTCCACTCCTCCATGACCACCACAGCATCTGCTCAGGATACGGCCTGGTCCAGGATTATGAAGACCACTAGGAGATCTAAAGTTGGCATCATCTCTTCACAGGTCTTGGATCTCATCAATCTGATCCCGACTCTGGATTTCCTGTATATATCTGTTTGCCCCTGTGCTACGTTTGGATTCGCAACTCCCTTGTCCAGCGTCCACTGCACATTACAGACAATATTTGACAATAACACCGGCTACATAATTAGCAGTTGAAAACGAATGTGATCAAATTTATACATTTTATTCTAAACAAAGTGAATATACATGACATTACAGCTGGATTAAACAGTCCAGACTGCTACAACTGAGAAAACAAATCAGGACTATGAAGTAACCAACTGTGGCTGACTTCCAATCTATAAACCGTTGCCAGAACGAGATAAGCTTACAAAGGCACACTGTTGCGCATTTCACGATGTGCATAAAGAAAATGTTTTGCTGTCCATTAAAAACAGAAGACTGCAAGGTGTGAGGAGTGACAGCAGCAGCATACAGAGAGAGAGAGCAGGAGAGGAGTGGAGGGAGGGTGGAATATTTGAGATAGAGTTCTGTGTGAGTTCTGTAGGGGAAAGGTGTGTTTGGAGAACAGACAGAGGAGAGCTTTGTGTACCTCTTTCAGACAGGTCAGCTCTCTCTCTCTCCAGCTTTCCCTCTTTCCGTACTTCAGTCATTCTGGGTGCGCAGAGCTCCTTTGCAAGCCGTGTATGATGCTATCACTACTGTGCTGGTTTCTGCTGATCTTTCTGAGTCGGGTAAGAGCCACCAATTCCATTCTCATTAAGCTTGACTAACCGTTAGCATCTTTATCTGCCCGCTTCCCCCACGATGGCTGATCTTCCTGTAGCAGGCCTTAAATATGCACTCAGACGCTTCTGAAGTGATTCTGTTTGGGATGCTAACTGTAACACAGTTCATGGCATCCTATTCTAATATTAGCACTTAAAGAACGCGTAAAATCAAAACGTTAGTTCATGACTGTGCTGCTGGTGTTCATGCTTTTAGGGCTTACGCTGAATTATTTTAAAAGACAAAGAAGTTGAAGACGTTTGTTGAACTGCTTATTCTAAATGAGCTGAAACAACACAATCTGGAGGATTTGAGTTTGGCCAAGAGTTTATTGGCGGGGATAATGTACTTGTTTAATGTTCAGTCCACTTACATTTGTAATAAACTAATACATTAACCTAATTCCTACATGTTCTCCCAACACTTTAGAAAATGCAGGGTTCCACACATGTTGTCCCAACACAAACTGATTAAGTTAACTTAATTGTTTTTACAAATTGAAGTGGATTGGACATAAAACATTTAAAGTTTCCCAAAACACTTAAGAATCATGTTGTTTCAGCTCATTTTAAATAAGTAGTTACTCAGAGAAACTCAGAGGCTGCATTTCGAGCAACGTATTTGTATGCAAGACTGCGTCTATTAATCGTGAATCTATGGTCCGACGGCTTCGACTCAAGTACGGACATTATAAACTCGCTTTGGTTTCTATTGTTATTTCTCTCTCACAAAATTAGCTTGTCCTGTAAACTTGACAGAAAGATGTAAGATTTTTTTGTTTTGACCTCTGACCCTTGTGTGAAAGAGACAGGCCTGCAGCAGACCATAAAGTATAGAAACATGACAGCCTTAGTTTGATGATGTAGTCCATGCGATTAGACACTAGACTAATGACATAAAGGAATAAACTTAAACTGTTTTTTCTTGATTTTAATTTGCCTGTCTTTGGTCAAATCTCTGACACTTGGATCATAGTATCAGTGTTCCCATGGGTCATGGCATTTCTGGAATATCATGCCATTTCAAAAGCTCTATTCTAGACATTGGAAGTCTGGAAAGTTTTGATATAGACTGTGTCTCAAACAATTAGTGCATCATTCAAAAATAAAACTGCTTATTGTTCTACAGGAATAATGACGACTGCATCTCTGACAGTAATAACAGCGCAATCTGTGCATTTAATCCTTCTATTTACTTTCCTTGGCAATGACGTAATGATGATGTATTTATTTTTATCTGTGTCAGACACCGCTAATTAAAAGTTAATTGGTCAAAGGTTTACGAGAACTTTAAGGCTACAGCGCTTCATGTTTGTGACTTTATGAATAAAAACTGGTGCATTGGATTACTTGTTGGTGAAAATTGATCACACTGGATCAGTATGTTGTGTAGCAGGGAGCGGTCCTCCATGCACTGCCCGTTCTGTTGAAAATATCACCACTGTTGAAGACATGCACTGAGCCAAGAACACACCACACACCCATTGAACTGTCTGACAGATTGCCGGGATTCTGCAAATTAATGACTCCAATATGTAAACGTTGCTGTATTTCTGTGCATGCTAATTTAGTTTGCAACCAATAAAATTGAAGCGTTATGTCAGTATTTTAACAAGGTAATGTGGTGAAATAAATCAGGTGAGGTAGAAAACATACACATAACATAACATATCTACGTTATTTCTATAATATTCTATAATAATCTATTTGTAATGTAAAATGTAATTAAGTGTATTAAAATTCTGACAGAATAAATTCTGCTTGGATTTGTTTGAGACAAAGTGTATTTATATTGTGTCCAAGTCATGGAGTATCAGGGAATTTATTTGTGATTTTAAATTTGACGTTTATTAAACTGTATTGTTTCTATACCATGCATTTTTAACACTGTTTTGTCTATTGTTATGGTTCGGCTATTTCTCACTGTCATTTTATTTCTTTCCCACTTTTCCACCAGCAAACAAACGCAATCCTCAGATCCTCAATCCTTTACTTGATAAAATACTGTATGTGGCTGTTTTTTGCTCAACCAATTCCTCCTGGATTTTGCGGGAAAATATTAGAATTATTGCAAATATATCAGGCTCATCTCATGAGGAAACATAACTATTTTACATTTTGTCAGCTACCAGCAGGCACAGGACATCAACATGATGTCAGATTAACACTGTATCCCAGCATCGTGGGGCATTGCCTTTTGTACGCAAATTAAAATCGGATTGACATCAGAACCCAACGTCAGACAGGGAGTACATTTTTGGACACTTTCAAAAGCAACCTAAAATCAACCAAATATCAGCGTCTAATGATGCTACAGCTTGACGTTGTGTGGACGCTACCACTTTAACGTCTATAAGATGTTGGATTTTGGTTGCCAGACCTGATGAATAAATGTCAGTAATTGACGTTAGTTTACGATGTTAGTTTGGTCATTTTCCAACAATCTAAAATCAACCAAATATCAACGTCATTTCACGTCGTTATTGGATGTCAAAATAACAGTCCTTAGACGCCGGCGACCTAAATCTAACCGAATACTAACGTCTTATGGCCTTGTGTGTTTAGTGGCTAATTCATATGAATTCAGTTAAAAGAAAGTTCAGGTTATGAAAACGTATGATTTTAAAGGGGACGTGTGGCACTAAACCCTACCCCTAAACCCAATCATCATTCGGAGATGAGCAAGTCCCAGTACATTAATATGAATTAGCCACTAAATCAAAAATTATTTCTGTGAGATATCAATAGAAAATATACACGGATTTACACATCTTAATTACAAGAGAGTAATAAAACTATGCAGATGGTGCGGAAGCAACTTGAATAATTGTCGTAGCCAGCCAAAGTCTACATGGAATCTATGGCAATTTAAAAAATGCTGGCTATTTGTTTGATGTTGTGTTAAATTCAGCAGACTTTGCAGAATACAAACTCAGACTGAATCAGAGCATTGCTGTGTATTTGCTCTCTGCAAAGTGCCGACACTGTAAATGCAGCAGGGCAGTGGATGTTTTTCTTCCATAGGCAGCTCTAACAGTAGCGCAGTCAGTGCTGCTGAGTAAAGGAGCCGCTTGTTCACATCAGGATTGGGTTTGTCCTCTGCCAGACTCTGCATGTGGATCTGCTGCTATAACCTGACTGAAAGAGCCAGTGAACTACAGTAACTCAGCACACAGAGTTAGGTCGAGCACAGCAACCTTATTAAGCAGAATGAATCTAGAAAATTGACATATTTAAAAAAAAAAACTCACAAAAAAAAAAAGAAAAACAAAAGAAAATAAGAGGTTTTGGCTCGATTTTTGGTTTAGTTTTTTGGTTAAATGTCCTTTTTCTTCTGATTGGTCAACCAAATCTGAACTTGTGACGTCAAGTAATTTTAAGAGTGTACCCTCAGCTGATGATTGATTATGAAGCTTGTTTGGCATGCTGTCCCAGGAGAGAGCCCTGAGCTTATAAGATCCTCGAGCCCGGGGCTCCCTCCGGTTTGCAGGCGAGAGGGGAGTTTGAGCTCAGGTAGATCTGATGCCAATTTATGGCTAATGACAAATTAGAAGTTGTTATGGAGAGATATACAGCTGACTAAGATAATTTTATTTTGGTCAATTCACCTATGTCGCATGTCTTTGGACTGTGGGAGGGAACTGGGGGAAACCCACGAGGAGAACAACTCCTTATAAACTGCACAGAAATGCCAATTGACCTGGTAAGGACTTGAACCGGTGACATTCTTGCTGTGAGGCAACAGTGCTAACCCCTGGGCCACATTCTTGAAGACACTGGTTAGCACTGGTTCAGATGTGTTTGATTAGTGTTGGGGCAGGACAGTAGCACGCCAGGACCAAGTTCGCCCATCCCTGAGCTAATAGCGCAGTTGTACACCTGATGAGGTGAGGATCTCCAGTTCAGAACATTTTGCAATTTCAGTGTTATTTCTGCATGCATTACAGGGTGCCGATAGCAGGCGAGAAGGGACAGGCCCGGCGGATAAAAGGCAGTTCTGTAGCTGGCCGTGTAAATGTGGTGTCCGGCCGCTGTGTGCCCCTGGTGTCAGCTCCATCTTGGATGGCTGTGGCTGCTGCAAAACATGCGCACAGCAGATTGGGGAATCGTGCAATGAAAGGGACATCTGTGATCCTCACAAGAGCATGTACTGTGACTTCTCCAAAGACCAGCCGCGCTATGAGGTCGGCATCTGTGCTTGTGAGTGAGCCTATCTACTTACCTACCTACCAGCAGGCACCTTGATCTCAAAACAACATCAAACTTGCATATTTTGATGTGGATTGGGTATATGCACAGACTTTTGATTTTCAGCCAGTCAGCAGCAGGGCTTCTGGTGAACTCTTTCCATTACAAAACAACCTGACTTCTTTAATAATCAGTGATCTTCACTGCTGGATTGATATACGATGTGAAGTGGACCAGACCAGACAAGGAGCACTGCATTAAATCACATTTCCCCCACCATGTCTTTAAAGCGACAATTTATTTTACCCCTAGTATTTTCAATAGAGTTGCTAGTACTACTGGCTGTAAAACACTAGCTGTGCCAACACAATCTCACAGCAATACAGAACTTTTTGATTTAGTGGCTAATTCGTACGATCTAATTCATATCAATTTAGTACGATTTGCTCTTCCCCTAATGACGGTTGGGTTTAGGGGTGGGGTTAGGAGCTACGCCTCCTTTTCAAAATGGTACTATTCCGTACGACTAAACTCATACGAATTCATACGAATTAGCCACTAAACGTAAAATACTTACGCTTTCTCATGACATCAGGCTGGCTGTGCATATACCACATTGACTAACTTTAATGTAAAATACCCCATCAAATTAGCATTTAAGATTAGCATTAAAAACCCCAGTCAAATCAAATTACAAGACCATTTGTTGTCAATTTTAAATGTCAATTTAAAGTCGTTATGACATCAAGGTAATTTACATGCATTGTAGGAAGAAAATTAGTGTAAATTTGGATTTGAAGCGTTCAGATGAATACAGGTTTTTAATATTATAATACATTTTACGTCATTATTTTGATGTTCAAAAGGGAACCAATGTGTGGATGTCAAATAGACAGAAATGCTGACATCAAACTGATTTGGATGTTTTTTACGTCATGCTGTACATCAGTTTGCTGGGTTTAATTGGTTGCCGGCAGTTATTAAACTAATTTAACTCAAATACATTCTTTGCAGACCTGATGGGGGTTGGTTGTGACCTGAATGGTGCTCACTATGATAACGGACAGGCCTTCCAGCCCAACCCACTCTACAAGTGCACTTGCATTTCTGGATCCATCGGCTGCACCCCTGCCTTCATCCAAAAGCCCACAGGAATGCTGAGTCCCGCTGCCCTCCAGGGCCAATTACCAGCAGGACTCAAGAGCAGTCGAAACCCCAAAAACCAACAGGACACCACCTATAGGACCATGTCAGGTGAATGTGACCCTGTGTGTTGAAATATTAAATTCAACAAAAACAGCATTCACAACATGCCACGTACTTTGACATGCTTCTGAATGCACGCTGTATTCTGAGGAGATGTTTGATGTCATTCTGCTTGATGGCACTATTTTGCACCAAAGTTTCAGTATGTAATTGTAAATTAATTAACTGTAGTTTATTCATGAACTAATTTCAAGAGGATCACATGCTTATGATTTACCACCCAGACAGCATACCGATGTGGGCCACTTTAGGCAGTCATGCTGCACTGGTGGCCTTCCTTCAGCCCAGACAGAATGAATGTGAGCCTGAAGTGGCCCACCGGTACAATGGCAAAGGGCGGCCAAAGATTCAAATTCATACAAGGGCCATTTAATGCGAAGATTTGGCACTTATGCAGAATGTAATCTGAATGTGAACCTAATGTGGAAAATGATCAATTTGGCCCAAATGATGGAGGACACTTGTGGATCACAGTTGGTAAAATGTGTCCGAGTCATTTAAGGTTAATCTGGTCCTAAACCTAAAGAGGCTGACATGTGTAGGTGCAAATGTGGCCCAGTTATCTTAAGACATATGTGGGCCACTTTTGGGGAATATTCAGCACAGTAAGCTCTGGCTAATGTGGATTTGAGCCTATAGTGGCCCAGAGAAGATATGGCAAATATGGCCCAGTTATCCTTGAACAAATGTGGGCCACTTTTGGCAACTATTTGGCACTGTTAGCTCTGGCCGAAGTGGCTGTGAGCCTGTCGCCCAAGTGCTGTCACTCCATGCTAGTGTGGGCCAGATTTGAGCCACATGAATTTAGCTAGCTGGGCACAGCCGGTCCTGTTGGCCCCACAGCAAGAACGCCGCTGCTTCTGCTCCTCACCGGGCCGGTGGGTGATTCTGTGTGGAGTTTGTATGTTCTCCTAGTGTCCGTGTGGGCTTTCCCAGGGTTCTCCGGTTTCATCCCACTATCCAAAGATATGCATCAGACTAAGCAGATCAGGCACTCTGTCTAGCTTCCTTCCTTCTCAAAGTAGTTTACCTTAGCCACTTCAGTCAGGGAGTTTTTGAGATCTACCTGAGCTCTGCGAACGGGAGGGAGCCCAGGACTAGGGGATCCCTTTAGCTCAAGGGTCTCTATCGGGACAGCATGTCAAACAAGCTTATAAATCATCAGCTAAGTGTGAACTCTTGAAAGAAATCCTCTCGGAAATTGCTAAGAAAGCCTGTGATAAACTTGCCTTCTGGTCTTTCCAAACTGCTGTGCTAACAGCTCTCTGTCACAGATCAATAATTGAAAGTGACCCGTTCCGGTCAGTATGTGAAGTCTAGGGTGAGGGCAGATGTTTGGATGTGTGCTGCTGTGGGATGACGTGATGCTCTGTGACTGTAACACTGAAAGCTTACAGGGATCCTCCTTTAGCCTGGAAGAAGAACTGTTTGGTCCAAACCACAGCCTGGTCGCCCTGTTCACGATCCTGCGGCATCGGCATCTCTGTGCGAGTCAACAACGACAACAGCAAGTGTGAGATGAGAAAAGAGCGCCGACTCTGCCTGCTCCGGCCGTGTGATAAAAACACCCTAAAGAGACTGAAGGTAAGAGAACAGCCCATGTTAAACACAGCCAAACCGGCATTTAATACACACTGCCTGAGAAAGTCTAGTGGTGGATCCCAGCTGTAAGAGCAACACATAATAACTCGACTTCTAGTTGATCATTTGGAGTTAAATGATTGTACTGAAACTCCTCTCTGTCCTGCATAGATGCCAAAAGGGAAAACCTGCAAACCCAAATTCCAGGCCAGTAAAGCAGAGAAGCTCTCACTGTCCGGCTGCACCAGCGTTAAGAAGCACCGGCCGACATACTGCGGCGTCTGCACAGACAAGCGCTGCTGCGTTCCCAATAAGTCCAAAATGGTGAACGTCGAGTTCCACTGCAAAGGAGGATCCAATGTGCGCTGGAAGATGCAGTGGATCACGTCCTGCGTGTGTCAGAGGAAGTGCAGTAACGCTGATGACATGTTTTCAGAGCTGCACTTGATCTAAAACACAAACGGGAAGAACACAATGCTTTCAGCTTTACCTACCATAAGCTATATAGAGCTGTGTTTCCCAACCCTGTTCCTGGAGGCACACCAACAGTGCATATGTTGGATGTCTCTCTTATCTGAGCCATTAACTTCAGGTTTTGGAGTCTATTCTGATGTTCTGCTGAGTAGGGAGAGGTTTAAAATGTGTACTGATCAAGTCAAGTCATACTGTTGGTGTGCCTTTAGGAACAGGGTTGGGAAACACAGCTACAGAGCATTCATGTACAGCTACGGCCAAAAATACTGTAACCAAGAAGTGAAAGACGCAAGTGCTTTTTAAACGCACTTTAATTTTAGAGTACTGTCACGAATATTGAAGTGTTTAAAAAACCTAAGACATGTTGGGACAGAGTTACCTTCACTGGTATTAAAATCAAGTTATTTAAGTAGCTGTACGCTTTTATAACACCTAAAGGCCTGGTTCAGAAACACTTCATTTAAACTTATGGTTTACATGGACTGTAAATATGGTGTGTGTGTGTGTGTGTGTGTTATTTTAATTCACTCGCCATATCATTCCTTAATGAAATGGTGTGTACTGGAGTTCTGGCATTCTAATGAAATCAACCTTGTATAAATTTGTGTGTGTTCAGCTGTTTGTGTAGGAAATGTTTTGGCCACAAATGAGCAACTAACAGCGCGTTTTATGCTGATGTTTGGAGTACAGCGAGAAGGGGGAGATTTGTTTGGAAACCAACTATGGAGCCAGAACTGTCTAAAATCCAATTGTTAAATTCAGAATACAATTCATAAATACACAAAATCAATTCATAAATATATATTTATATGTTTATATACGTGTAAGTATGCATATGTATTTATACAACAGTTCTCTCTGGTTCTTGAATCTGATTGGCTGATAGGCCTCTTCACCCTTCACCTTTGTGTATTACTCCGCCCACATACCGCTACAGTTTGACAAATATTACTGCTTTTGACAACATAATGTGCTTTTGAGGCTTTTTTACTGGAGAATGTAGTTGTTTAGATTGCAACTATGCAGTTTATTTATAAGAACAGTGCCTATTTAAAATATTTACCATTTCTGAGAGAGCTCGTCGATGGCCATTAGCCTGCCATAGTGTAGTAGATTAAAGACGTTTGTGATGTTTTCTATCCACAAGATGGTGACAGAACCACATAATAAGCCCTTATGCTTAAAAGATATTACAGTCTGATTTCAACTATAGCTGGTCAAATCATGAATAAACTGGTAAGTTACCATACCTGCCAACACTCCTGTTTTTATGGGAGTATCCTGTATTTCAGACCAATCTCCCGCAACAATCCTGTTTTTTATTTCTTCCGGCAAACTCCCGTAATTTCACCCACCCCCCTTTTTGGTACAGTCTGTAAACACCTCTGGGCTGCCAACTTTGGTACAGTACCCAATCGCAGTGACCGCCCAAAACCTGCTGCATCCAATCCCCCGGGTCTCTCGGATTTTCAGAGACATGTTGGCGGGTCTGCATTCTTAGTTGATCTCTCTCTTTTGTATGCTGTAGTGCTGTATTTATACCGATTTGCTCGCATATCAGGAATGTGTGTGTTGTGTTGGCAGAAAGAAAGAAGCAAAGTCTGCAGGTGTCTATCGTTTTTCCTTATCGCAAACACAGCAGCAGTCTAGTAGTGATTGCGTTGCTTTTTTCGGGGTTATTTATTGTGATGTCCTGATTGCAACAGAGAAATACTGTAGACTGTAACACTGTAAGAAGAGATCTCTGTGGATGGATGGCATTTCATGACACGTTCAGCCTTATAATCTTAAAGTGTGAGCAAAATCAGCAGTTTTGTCATCACTTTAGACATTAGACTAGAGAATCATTCCAACACTAGCTCTACAGTGGCGTTGGTGAATGAGTAAAGGCTTCTGCTGTTTTGACATCAGCTGCAGATGTGAATGAATGGCGGAAGAAAGTAGTTCCTAATATTGTGCCGTCAAACTGTTGTATGTGCCGTCAAACACTCGTAGCAGTGCCATATGGCTGTATATCAGCACTGGTGGGACGCTTAGGCACGAGGCCACGCACGCCTCCCATCAGTGCTGATATACAGCCATATTGCACTGCTACTTGTGTGATATTGCTCATTTATATATATATATATATATATATATATATATATATATATAAACACACAACAGTCCTATCTGGTTCTTGAATTTGATTGGCTGATAGCCGTTCGATATCCCGCAATAACAGCATTTGTACAGCCTCCTCACTCTTCTGTATTACTCCGCCCACACACAGCGACAAGAGGACACTTTACAGTTTGATAAATATTGCAGCTATTGGACAACACAATGTACTTTTAATGCTTTTTTAGTGGAGAATGTAGTTGTTTAGATTGCAACTATGCAGTTTATTTATAATGGTGCCTATTTGAAAATATTTACAATTTCTGAGAGACAGTGCGGTGGCGTCTATTAGTCAAAGACAGTTGACATTGTCCATCCACAAGATGTCACCAGGACCGCATAAGTCCTTGCTTAGAAGATTAAAACAGCGTGGTTCTTCAAACTTCAGCTGATTAAATCATTATTAATCTGCAAAGTGAAGTAAATTCACTTCCTCGATTACTCAGATATAGGTAGATGGATAAGAAATGTCTAATATACACACAGGTCAGGTGGCCATGGTGAGTCTGGGGGCGTTTGGCATGAGAGGGCATTCCAGGTGTGTGTAGTCTTCAATAAGTGTTGAGATTGATGACAGCGCTTCAGTGAATCCAGACTGCTCCATGCCATCAACGGCTAGATAATGATGCAAATGAGCCTGTGGGGTAGGGGCACAACAAACACCATTAACATACAGAGCTTCAGAATATCTGCACCGTGCACAAGAACATGTCAACATTCCATAATCTGTGACAGAGCTGTGCAATATAACTATATATATATATAAACAATGCATGTTGTTATATTATATATATATAACAATATGCATTGTTTACTGCAATACTTTTTCATTATATTTATGATCAAAATCGTGAATAAAAGCTTGGTGTCAGAGTGGTTTATATTTAGCATTTTATTGTAGTATTTTGTGTTGGGCATGTAATCATTCGTTTTTGAAATGAATCTCTGTTTTGTTTTGTAGTTTATTCATATATATTTCATATTTTTTCCATCAGTAACCAAACATGTGCTCCAAATAGCTCTACATAAAGTAAAAATATGAACGAGTACATCTGAGTATAAGATTTAAACTGTAAAAACCTGAAATAGTCCCTTCCATGTGGTCAATATGTATATAAATATTAATTGACTGAAAATGTACTATATTGTGACATATATAGTTGTCAGGATATGAGATTACTGTCATATTGCCCATCCCTAATTTGTGGAACATTACACAAAAAACTACAGCTATAATGACCTCAGTGATTTTCCTCTGGTGCTATCATTTACAATTTACATGAGCATCAAAACAGCTTCAAAGGAGACCTATTATGCCCTATTTACCATATGCAAAATAGGTCTCTGATGTCTCTAGAGTGTGTAGGGAAATTTCAGCTCTAAACACAACACAGATGATGTTTTATAACTCTCTGAAACTGACCCTTTCAGGCTTTGATACTAATGCTGTGGTGTTTTGGTGACTGTTGCTTTAAATGCAAATGAGATTGTGCTCTTCTCAGAAGAGGGCGGAGCTATAAATGCCTGTGTGTCAGTATAGTGGCAGATTCATAAACAAGACTGACGTTTTATGCTAATGAGGGAGAGATGGTGAGTAGTGGGCGGGGCTTTCCCCCTCTGATGACACGTGCAAAGGGAGAATGTCAATCACAGTGTTTCTGCAGACTAATTATATCTAGTCTGATTATAACAAACACAATTAATACATGTTTACCATTAGAAGCTGATATATTCAGACACATTTGAGTTTAAACCCCTTATAAAAGTGATTTCTGCATAATAGCTCCCCTTTAACTTAATCAAGGGTGACAGGACTGTTCAATTGTTCAACAGATGAAGTCATAATCAACAAAAGGCAATCATCACAGTATATTGTATATAGAGAGGTGCTTTAGGGTATACCTTCCTACGGTAGAGCTTCATAAAGCGTTCCCTCAGTTCAGAAAAGGTGGACTTCACACAAGTGTTGTTGGCTAAGGCCAGCAGAGAATGTGAGTGACCCACAGGCAGGACAGAACACAGGCTGGTCTTCCATCCTTCCTGATTCCATGGGACAAACGGCAGGGTGGGCCTCAGCCTAGGAAAAAAAAAAAAAGATTAGGAAGATCTTGCAATCAGAAGATGGCTTCTTTACCAGGGATATCCTGTAGAATATTCAAGATTTAGATCGATTCAATTCAGTGATTATACATTTAACACTTTGCTAAGAATGATTAGGTAACACTTTAATTTAAGACTCACGTGTGCATAAAGACATAATCCACCTCTCTATTGAAGATGCAATTCATAGCCATATTAACAGTCAAATATGATCAATTATCTTATAGAAATATCCTCTTTTAAACGCAAATGTTGCCACTGTATTGAAGCACACTAGCTTATAGATATCTTAAAACTACCAATACTGACGCTAATATCTAAAACAATACATTTGAATTTCATGGAACCTTTAATTTTCAAGGTTTCCTCTGTTAATTTAATAATGAACTTTCTGACAGCCTCTTTATCTACATTCACTGATGCAATCTCAAAACTTTTAACACCTAATTATACCTGATCTGACTTTGTGTTTAAGAGCTGACCACTCCGGATCTGTAAACACTGATATGGCGTAAACATTCAAAACAAGACGAACCTCTCAATGTTCCGCCGCAGGTCCGACAGCTGAACGTTTCCACGCAGCATGAGTGCACAGGCCAGATACAGGTTGTGTTTGGGGTCGGCTCTGATCAGCTGATGCTCCTTACTGAACGCATCCGAGAACATCTGATCCAGCCTACAGAAAACAGCATTAGCTAGGAGTTTTCTCCTGGTGTGTGTGCACCTCAGTTCTGTGACAGGACTGTTCAACTGTTCATCAAAGTCCTTTAGGGTCTCTTCCCTGCAGAGTCCAACTCAAAGGCCAGGTCACACCAAGCCGATGGGCAGTTAGTAGACGTCTGACCAGACACTTTCTTCATGAGATGTGATGAGACACTAGATTGGGTTCGCGAGAAGGAGGTTTTTATAGATTTTTATAGTTTTTTTAGTCCTCAATGATGAAATGAATGGAAAATATTCCTAATAATGATTTGGAAAATAGTCTTTTATTTAACTGAAAATATAAAAAGTCACAACATGCAAATATATATATATTTTTTTTAATAAACACATAACGTATGTTATTTTACTTCTATTTTGATGGAATATGTCATAAAGGGCATCCAAAAGCTGCAAGATATTTTACTATAAACTCTACAGACTGGACAAACTCTGAGCTACTGGATGGCAACATGAGGCGACAGTACAGTTTTGTCTGCACTAGTAGCCGTTGGCTTGGTGTGTCCTAGCCTTAAATAAGATCTCAATGGTTTCACAGTTTCCAATCAAACATAATTGGAAACAGGAAATATATTCTGCTTTGCTCTACAGTTTCCGCTCTTTTTTTAGGGGTAAATTCCCAGTACTTTTCCCCTGCATAAACGATTGACTGCAAACGTACCTGCGGGGTGGCACACTGACATCAGCCAGTGTGTAGAGAGGAGTCAGGCTGGACACAAGGTAGTGTAAACGTGGGAAAGGGACCAGGTTCATGGCTATCTCATTCAGATCCATGTTGAGAGAGCCCTCAAACCGCGCTGAACTAAGAATAAAAACAACTTTATGAGTAATCACATCTCTATTAAGTTGAAAATGTATTAGCAGAGGATTTAGCACCTGGTAATATTAAGAAGCAGATTGGCCACAATGTTGTTCATGGCATCAAAGGGCTTCTCCACCTTCACCACCCCTCCTTGTCCAGAGATGATGGTACTGTCCTTCTTGATAGCACAGCCTGGTTTGCCAGTGTTGGACATGTGTTTTATCTTACCGACAATATCAACCAGAGACTAGAACAACAGCAGAGAACAAGAACAGAAATCGTCAAGATTATTTACCTTCAGGTTATTTCAAAACTATGAAAAAACAAAAAGTACTACACTACCGGACAAATGCATTGTCAACAGGTTTTATGAACATCAGATAATAACAGGTCTTCTAGTTGTTGATCTGGTGTCAGAAGTGTCTCTATGAAAGGTGAAGGCCTCTAGATTTTGCTGATTTGAGCTCAATAAATCTGATCATGTCTTGATGTTGACTGATTTGATGAGGACAGTGCGCTCTGACTCTGCTCAGACTAAAGTCTCATCACTGAACAGAAATAATGTCCAGTATAGAATATAAAGTCCTGCTGCAGTGGAGACAGAATGAAGATTGTGTCTGACTCCATCATGAGCTTGGAGGACTGCATCCATACATCTCTGACATGACTCACATCACTGATTAATAAAGTCATCTGGAATGAAGAAGAAAGCCTTCAGAGTTCATCAAGAGTCTTTGTGTTCATCTTCAACACCTCCTCCTTCATCACCTCAATAATGTTGATTGCTGGTGACTGGGCTGGCCAATCCTGGAGCACTCTCTGCTGTCAGGAGCTTTGATGTGGAGGCTGAAGTATGAGCAGGAGCGCTATCCTGCTGGAGAATTGTCCCTCTCCTGTGGTTTGTAATGTAATGGGCAGCACAGATGTCTTGATTCCTCAGGCTGTTGATGTTGATCATCCACTCTGCAGATCTCTCCATACTGAAAGAACCCCAAACCATGATGTCTCCTTCACCAGACTTGACTGATTTCTATGTGAATCTTGGTCCATGCTGGTTCCAGTAGGTCTTCTGCAGTATTGGTGATGATTGATGCAGATCAGCAGATGATCCAGCAGAGAAATCCACCTTCTGACACTGAAGTTAGTGTATTTTACATAATAATAAAAAAACATTGATCCGTTTTGGCGGAAGTGACAAACTGCAAGTATTTGATGTTTATATCTTCTAAATGCTATATTTTGTCACAGTTTTGTAGCACACTAGCTTATAAATATCCTTCAGATTAACAGATTGATACTAATATCTAAAAGACCTCTTTTTTATGTTACTTTAATACTAAATTCATCCTTAAAAACCATCAGGCCGTTTTTTCCATTGCAAGAAAAGAGAATAAAATTATTTAGTTTTACATAACAAGCTTCAATACCTGGTTGTCGACCGGCAGGACGCAGTCTGCATGTTCTGTGAGTTCTTTCATGGCTAGGACGCTGTTGTAAGGAGAAGTGATGACATCATCTTCTGCAGTGGGGTAAACGGAGGTCACGATCCGATACACCTCTGGGAACTCCTCTTCTAGAAGCTTCAACACAAACGTGCCTAACCCTGAACCAGTTCCTAAACACACAAACGCATGCTTAGTACACTTCAATCACCACACAGGTGACATGATAAAGAACCAAAGCTCACCTCCCCCCATGGAGTGAATAAGGAAGAAGCACTGAAGGCAGTCACAGTGTTCTGCAGCCTTGCGAACCTGATCCACGATCTGCTCTCTGTAGGCCAAACCATATGTGTGGTGCCCGACTGCCCTAGGGGACACAAACCAATCACACTACCAATCAATGATCAGCACATATTATTAATCACCTTTTTGACTCTTCTTAAGCACAGATAAAACATATGTTTGCAGATATTTCAGAAACTTGCTAAGTGAACATATTTGATTATCTGAAAAACAATGCTGAAGTCAGACATTCATTGAGTGAGTTACGTGCCGGAGCCTCGGTCTTTGTTTTGGTCTCTATAACTAGCCCACTGCCAGTTCAGCCAATTATATCTCAGAGCTCTAGGTTGCCTTGGTGGAAAACAGAGCATCTAATTTCAGTCTTGAACGCTGCCTCAATGCATGTCGCTGAAAATGCGGCCTCTGGAGGACAGCAGATTTAGAGTTATAAAAATCCACAAGGTGATTTATAAACCACGATTATTATAAATATTAAAGATGTAAACATTAGCCAGGCAGGTTACATTGTTATACCGTGTCCGAACAACATGCAATGCAAACAAGATTCCAGCAACAAACAATTTGTCTGCACCAGATACAACTCAACAGAATGATTCAAATACAGCTACTCAGAATGAACACAATGGTAAGACTGAGTGTACGTAAAACATATTAAACCTTTAATATTATAAATACATGCTGAGTTGGCTCTAACATTCAATTTCAAACTATACGTTTATTTTCATGGTCTGAGGTAGGTAATCTGTCTGCTTCCGCTTTCAGTAAATGTAACGTAGTGTTGAAATTAGCATTGGTAGCATATAACACTAAATAACGCACATAATCAGCACCTGAGGTAACGGTTATGACAAAAATTAATTTTAAGATGGAAATATTCATTTATTATGTGTCGTCACTCATATAAGACTTGGCGTTGGTTCAATAGTCAGGCAGACTCGCTGTTGTTGTTGTAATTTGTGTGCAGTTCAGATGAATCAGTTGGATGAAAACGGGTTTTGAATTTGGAATGCAATACCTAGTTCAACCACTGGGTGTCAATCTTTAAACATAAACTAGATTTCACTTAGAGCCAAATATCAAATTCCCTGACTTTCACTGTAATTAACCTGAATTTCCATCACCTAGAATGCATAGAAATACAGGCACCTGTTGTGTTTGAGTAATCCCTCCAGAATTGTTAGCTGAAAATAGCTGAATTTAATGCAATAAAATAAATAAATAAAATGATTTATTTAGTTATAAAATTCTTCTGATGTGTGTGACTAGCTTAGACGCCTCATGTGATATTATTGAAATGCAAATTTAGACAAAGCCTATTTGAACAAAGCTGCATTTGTCAAATCAATCAATAAAATGGTCCTTTTTTTCATGATTTTTCCAATGTTATCATTGAAGACATTTGAACAGTTTTCTTTATTTAGATCAGTTATATTTATAGGGTTAAGACACACTTCTCTCTCACTATCAGTGTTGCATTTATATAAGTTATAGAGACCAATCAGTCCCGAGGTAAAAGGGTTGAAAATAACAAACAAATATCCCACGATTTCCATGAAAAATAGATAAAAATTCCCTGACTTTCAATGTCTGGAAAAGACCTTTTAAAATGCCATAATAATTAGTTTCAACATGTATTTCACTTTTATATGTACACGAACCAGGGCTAACAATAAACCCTTCTAAATGATTTGGCGTTTTTAAACCACACAAATGCGAGTCAGCGTGACGATATCAGACTCATCTTTGGCCTGAGGTTATGACTCGCTGCTGTCATTTTGATCAAAATCAAAAAATGATTTGACCCTTGTCTAGAAAGATGACAGGTAATTAAGTTTGAGCACTGAAACACTTGAACAGTCAAAAAGCATGAAGTGTGACTGTTTGGTAACATGCCTTGAGGACATCCAGAGAGCTTCTGAGGTATCAAAAACATGGGTGTGTTGAACAGATGAGGAATAATACCAGGACTGGTTTACACCTGATATTTAGATGCCTCCTGGCCAAAGGGTGGTCTCTGTGACTACATAAATCATGTCAAATCAAAAGAAAAACATTAAAAGTGTTAAAGTGTGAAAAAAGGGCAGGTTTAGGCCTGACGCACCAGAAGAACCATTTCCAATGCACAACATGGGTGTAAAATGCCGCAGAACACTTCACTAATCAGTTTATTTCAGTATGAAGTATTCTTTATCGATAAAGTCAAATAGATATTGTAAATATAATTTTCAATCAACACAAATTAATACTTTTTTCTTTCTTTGGTTCTGTGTTACTTCAAGATTACAAACACATGGGTCAAAAATCTCCTATCTTAAAATATTGTTAATATAATTTTCAATCAACACAAATTACTACTTTTTCTTTTTTGGATTTTTTGTAACTTCTTCAAGATTACAAACACATGGGTCAAAAATCTCCCATCTTGATAAAACAAACAAACTAATATATTGTTCAATGACTTTAGCACTCATTTAAACCAGCATATTTAATACTTCACATATGTTTATTTGCCACTAACTACTGATTTCTAATAACTGATTCATTTCCTCTTTGTCATGATGACAGTAAATAATATTAGACTAGATCTTCTTCAAGACACTAGTATTCAGCTTAAAGTGACATGTAAAGGCTTCACTAGGGTAATTAGGGTAAAGTTAGGGTAATTAGGTAATTAATCATTGTAAAACCGTGGTTTGTTCTGGAGATAATCTAACACTAATATTGCTGAAGGGGCGAATAATATTGACCTAAAGGGGACCAGAGGGACCTTGTTGTGGTGAGGTGACAGTGTTACATATATTTTATATACATTTACAAATTCCATGACCTGGACAGAAATAAACACATTTCCCTGAATCCCAATGTGTACAACAGACATTTAAAATTCCAGCATATTCCAGAAATTCCACGGCCTGTGGGAAGCATGCAGAGCCTTTCAGTGGAAAAATCAGAAAAATCAACAGTGCCACATTTGAGCACTCAGCCAATGAGTTTCCCAATCCTTACTCCAGACTTAAATCATTGGAGAAGCGCTCAGTTAGTTTGGATGTTCTGTTGATTTCATTTATTTTTTAAACTGTACAAATTTACCAATGTTGCCACCTTGTGGATGAAGCGATTAGTACAAAAACAGTAGGCACATGCAGAAATCAGGTTGCAGCATACAGGTAACAGAAGAGAGCCTTTGGGGATTAGCAGATCCAATGAACACCACGCTGTCCCACGATGCCGCTATGCTAGAAAACTCATGAACAGGATTGAAGAGATGCAACTAACGCATGTAGGTCATCTAATAATGACATATGGTAGATGGTAGTATTATATACTATGTACTTTTCTAACAGTCATGTAGTAAATTCAAACTCAGATGTAGTGCATACTCGAGTAGTAGGCGATTTCAAACTAGTCATAAAAAACATGGCCATGGACTGCCATATAAACCAGCAGGTCTCGTCAGCTATCTGTACCTGTAAGGTTTTTTTTTGAACACATCAAAAGCAAAGCGGACATCCACACTGAACGGAGTTTGCACGTAAACAGACTCTCACCAGTTATTCCCTGAACCAGAGACATCGCTTATGAGCTGTGCGCTGCTGAAGAGAGAACGCAACGGCCCCTGCAGAATCCCTCCAAGCACTCCCTCCTCCATATCCACTAACACGGCCTGAAAAACAAACATACAGCGGTTTATCTATCATGGTGGAAATTAAGCATCGATTTCTGTTGTTCTGATAAAGCATCATCATCTTCTGGAGTACTTGACTAATTCATCAACCAAATACTGTGTACTGTACACTGATGTAGGAGTTAGCATCTTGATTTTCATTCCTGGATGTGATGATATATTGTTATCAAGTAAATGTGATGAGTCCTGCACATGGTTGAAAACTAGTATGATCTGTTTAGCTACATGTATTTAGGAAGATGGTAAAACTCTGCTGTATAACTGTAGGTGACTTGTAAAATGAGCCTATTTCTAAAATAAGTGGAGTGTTCCTTCATGAACATTGTGTGCCCGTCTGTGCTGAACTGCACACATATCTCAAACTGACACACAATACATCCACACATGGCAGAATATAGGCTGCTGTTTCCATGCTCTAAATTCATCACGTCGCTCACCCTGGCCTTCAGACCTGTGATCTTGCCGCCGGTTGCCTCTGCTCCGTACCCTCTCCTATAAATAAAGCACACACAATAATTCAAGAGAGCATAGGACATAGACATGGAGTGAAGAAGAAAGATAAGCTACCTCTGGTCAACGTTCCTAAAGAAGCTGCTCAGCGCGTCATCATAAACTCCCATCTGCAGAGGGGGAAACACGATTGAACACCAGACAGGGCAGCACAGTGGCTCTCCTATAGCGCATGTGGTTGGACCCAAGCCAACACGGGGAGAACATGCAAACTCAGAAACACTAACTGACCCAGCCGAGGCTTGAACCAGCGACTATCTAGCTGTGAGGCCACTGAGCCACCGTGTCACCCCCTAAACAAACATATTTAACTTATATATTGACTTAATTGGACCACTTTAAATCACCATATGAGCCATAATCATTAATAAGCTAATTAAAAATATGTTCACCTTTAGGAAGGTTCTGTGTATAAATCAAACCGCTGTCCTTTATCAGCAATAACACTTTGTTTTTAATCTCTGATGCTCTAAAAGGCAACACAGTGCAATATAGGAGGGATTAGAATGTATTATTTTGTTTTCTAGAAATTGAACTGAACTAATCTTCTGATTAACATATTCATGCTTTATTATTACTCAGTTCAGCCTACATGTAACCTGTAGTAGTTGCCTGCAACGAGAACTAGATATAATGGTTTAAATGGCATCTGTGTGGTGTGATGTTTCTCACTTGATTCACGTGTGCATGTTCTCTGAGTGCGAGATCCCAGAAGCGGCAGCCCACCTGATTCCCACACTGACCAACTTAAAGACAGAAGAAAGAAAAGGGGAAAATAAAGATTCAACACTGACACAGAGATAATCATCATGGACTGAACCATACATCGATATGTGCGATGATAATAATAATAATAATAATAATAATAATAATAATAATAATGTGCGATTCCACAATAGTCACATCGCAGTATTAAATAGATTATTTATTAAAGATTAAAAGATAAAGAAAAAATCCTTTACACAAGGATGAACATGCTAATTTACCTTTGATTGTTCAGTTTCTGTACTGTGAATACTGTTGGACTGACCAGAAAAAACAAAAAGTGCTGTATTTATTACTTTTATTTCGCTCTGTCGGATTTATAGATGCTTGTAATTTGTTATATTTAATGCAGATGTAGACTAAGATTTGATCATTTCAGTCCATCTTAATGAATGAAATCTTTTCAAATAGAGCTGTTCAATTTATATTCATATCAAAATATATATTGCAATAAAACTAAATATTGCAGTACGAGATTTTTTCAATGCCGTGCAGCCCTGTCCATTTAAAGGGAAATAAAACACTGTATAAAAAAGCTGAGTTCTAGACAATCCCTTCATGTTGTTCCAACACAAATTGTTGTTTTTGCAAATTTAAGTGTATTAAACATAAAAAGATTAAGTCCCCCTCCCCACAAAAAGAAGAATTGCGTTGTTTAAACTCATTTTTGAGTGTATGGCAACAAATTTATTTGTTTGACAATTTTAGCAGTGATTAATGCATGTGTTTAACTGATTTCATTTTTTTAGTTACACCAAGTACTATATTTTAGTCTAGATTTCCCCCCCAAAGACCAAATTTTGTGTGTAAGGCATTCTTGTTTTAAGAGTCTCCGATAAAGGTAAAATATAAGCATAATTCAGCCAAAAAAAAAACATAATTATTAGTAAATTTAAATGTATGAATGTGAAATCTTGTTTACAGTATAAGTAAATACATTAAATGTATATATGTTTAATCCTCTTGGTTGGATAGCCTTTGGATAGTCAGTAAAAGAGTACATTTCCCAATAACAGTAAGAAAGGTTTTAAACAGTGAATATTACAATTTATAAACTGAGTATACAAGTAGACCAAGTTTAACAGGGACAGATGGAACGACTAAATTCAGGGTTTCTGCAGGTTTCACCAAGCCAAATTTAATCATTTTATTTCTTTTTTTAGACCATTAGGAATAAAATGTCAGACTTTTATAGGGTTAAACGCTAAGGGTTTTCTTGGTTGCCCAGCAGAATAAAATATTTACTTGACGCATCAATAAATTATAATAATTAGTTATTTCTGTCACATATTTTAAATATTGTGTTAAATCAGGCAGACCCCAATGAACTGAGGTAAAGTTGCCTTTAAATTCGTTTAGTTATGAACATTTACAACTCGTGACGGGCTCCCTATATTGTTTACACTGAATATTCGGTCTGAAATCACATGTAACGTTAAATATGACTTTAAAACCACATTAGCACTGATTAACAGACTGTGAACAATGCTGTAAACTCTCTTACCTTGGACTACGACAGACTGCGTCATCTCTTTATTTTACACACTCATGTATAACAGACAAGTCGGAGATCAGTGGTTTACACCATTTTAGTTCAACTGACATTGGTTAAGTTACATCGCCATCTCAGCAGTGTCTTTTTCCTCGTCTTGGTTCTAAGCGGCGTCTGGCATCCTCACAAGAGCTTCTAAACACCGTCCATTTGTACGGTTGAGTTGTCGCTATTTTGCCAATGTTGTCGTTGCTGTTTGCTATGGAAACAGTTTCCGTTTCGCGCGTTGAAATCAAAACCATGCGTCGCTGATTGATGACGTGTTATTACAGCGCGCAAGGATGTTGTGTATGTAGTTTTTTCCAGAGATGTATAAAGTACTAGAGACCCATACTTAAGTAAAAGTACAAGTGCTTTATCAAAAAGTGACTTGAGTAGAAGTAGAAGTGCTCTTTAAGCACCATACTTAAGTGGAAGTACAAAAGTATTCAACATTTTTTGTACTTAAGTATTGCAAGTAGTTTATTTCAAAATTTACTACTCAAGTACTGAAAGTAAAAGTACAAGTATTGTGTAATGTAGTTATTAAAGAAAGCAGTCAAAATACACTAATTGTTTTGTTTATTTTAAATATCTTTTTTGGGGTACTTAAGCAGAATGAAAAGAAACATGGCTTATGATACTGTTTTTCTCTGTAAATAGTTTCTATGGTACAAGAGCTCACATCGTCAGGCCCTTTTACCAGAAAATGCCTTCACTGATGAGATAATTTAGCATGTTCACTCGCATACATACTCTCTCTCTCTCACACACACACACACAAACACACACACACACACACTGCCCTGCACACACCTAAATGTACACTCTCTCCCCACTCTCACACATTCATACACTCTCACACACACAGTTCTCTCTCTATCTCTCTCTAACACACACATTTTTGTGAATTGTGGGGACATTACATAGGTTGCAATTGTTTTTACACTCTCTCTTACACACACACACACACACACACACACACACACACACACACACACACACACACACAGACGCACACACAGGTACAATCACACTGTTGTTTTCTCTTACACATTATTCACTCACACTTTGGGAGTTTTGAAGTTTGATTGGTTAATACCACAATAAACAAGAGTTCTGTCTTCTGGAAGCACTCGTGAAACTAAACTAAACAAGCAAACTAAATCCTGCTTCACTAATTCACTTGATTTTGATTTTATTGTAAAAAAAAAAAAAAAAAACAGGAAAATGTGTATATTACTGTGTTAAATGAAAATCTGAAATATTTTATGGCTTATGGCTATGATTTAGTAATAATTGTTATTTATTTTTATCATGTTTTTAATGAAATTGGTCTTACAGTTCATATTTTTCTGTTGTATATTTTTTTAATTCTGGTACTTTTACCATAAACCAACATCTCAACCATTTGGTAGAGGCTGATATTTTAGAAATAATGTGATGTGTTGAATAAAAATACACTGATTGTGTTAACTAGCGACATTAGGAGTTAAGAAATGCAATCAAAAAAAATTATATTGCTTTTGTCTTGGTGTGACAGTTAAAGGGTTTTTTGTTATAAAATTTTGTCCTTTAATACAGCAGTTAGATATACGAGCTGTGCCCTTAATTTGACCTGCTCAAAGAAAACACTCTTCCTGGATGTATCAAACAAAACTCATGCACAGAAGACAGCACGAGCATTTACAGCTAATAAACTCATGTCAATATTATCCCGCCTGCTTATTGAGCGCTGACAGGCGGGTCTTACACGGCTATGATTGGTTATTGTCCTCAACAGAAAGGGCTTTAGAAATATAAGCGCTGTTCACCCATGGCGGGAAAAATACGCGATTATCACAGGTAATAGACACAGTGGAGAAAACTTAATTGCACATGAGGCACGCTCATGTCTGGATTCTCAGCTTCAACAGCTGAGAAGAAAGGAAAAGTTACCTTACAAACTGGCCAGCGGGTCAAATGTCCAAAGTGAGAGAGCGAGAGATAGGCAGAGGTGAAGTTTTACAACATTTCTCCCTAACAGTAAACTAGCGACTGGAGTGCTGTGCCGCCTTCTCTCACCCTCGCGCCTCCGTCCTTCGCCATAGTATTGCGACATCGCGCATAGGAGATAAATGACGTCATCACGTAATCACCGGTTATGACCTATTATTACTGAACTGATATCAATCATTTTGACACCCATAGTAACGAGTAACGATGCAGCACATAAAAAAATCTATCGGAGTAAAAGTATTAAGCTCATGGAAAATATGTACTTAAGTAAAAGTGGAAGTAGGAGAAAAAAATAATACTCCAGTAAAGTACAGATACTGCCTTTTAGTACTTAAGTACAGTAGTGAAGTAGTTCTACTTCGTTACTATACATCTCTGGTTTTTTCCTCCTGCCGTTTTCCTTTAGATGTATGATTTTAACCACACATGTACATACTCAGGCCTTCTAGCTTCTGTACTCTTTAACAATAACTAAACTCATCATTTAAATGGTAATCTTTATGTATAGCTAATGTCATTTTATTTGTATATTATGGAACAGAAAGGGACTAAGCCGAAAAGAAAATTAATGAATGAATTATTGAATAGATTGTATGATAGATGCATACATTTGGAGCACATCAGTTACAATATTATTCATTAGATTACTTACAATCATACCAGTAAAGAAAAAAAAACGAGGAAAAAACTACCGAAATCAGAACAAAGAAATGATCTGAGGATGGATATAATAGCTACAGAAATTAGGGGCAAAACAAAATAGACAACAGTGATTTAGAGACAACAGAGTACACACATTAAAGGTTGTGTTAATTGTATTCGTTTTGAGCGCTTTTCTTATTAAGTGAATCTGGAATCGTACGTAATTTTTAATCTCTTGCTTAAATGCTACAAAAATTGCCACAGTAATTGTTATCATCTTTTGCCAAATGCCAACAGATTTGTAAATCAAGCTGCATTTACAGATGAGTTCATAAATATGTCCATGGATGGATGGATGGATGGACAGAGATGGATGGATGGATAGATAGATAGATAGATAGATAGATAGATAGATAGATAGATAGATAGATAGATAGATAGATAGATAGATAGATAGATAGATAGATAGATAGATAGATAGATAGATAGATAGATAGATAGATAGATAGATAGATAGATAGATAGATAGATAGATAGATAGATAGATAGATAGATAGATAGACAGATAGATAGATAGATAAAGATTTAACCTCAAAGCAAATATCAGAAAACATCAAGTGAAGCAGTTTATTGAAATGACAGGACAGTATATATGACTGCTTAGTCTTTCTCTTGGTCTCTCACACACTTTTGTTTAATGTTTCAGCCTTTCACACACATGTGGATCTTTCGGTCTCAGTTGAATTGCCGTGATTAGGTTTAGTAATAAATGCAAAAGTAATAAAACAGTTATAAATGATGCTTAAGAGCATGATGAATGCAGTGGCGGTGGTGCTCCACTCTTTATTCCACCCAAGCAATAAACACCTCTTCCTTTGGGTGGTCTTGAAGACAGAGCGGGCACAGCTCAAGCAGAAGGACAGGCGCCCACCCCGACTGATCCACTGACCAGCACAGCTTTGCTGAAGCTCACAGGAGTCTCGTTTACAGACACGCTCCTCATGCAGCCCGTGAAGCCTCTCCTGCTGAGCAGACTGTGGGACAGCATGGAGTCTGGAGCAGAGAAAGAGGTCAAACAGACATGAACAAGCTCTCACAATACAGTATAGCATGTAAAGAGAAACAGTGTTATGATATATATATATAAATAACCTGCCAATATGGTAAGCCAAATAATCTGATGTCAAAAAGGAAAAGCAAGATTATTTTACTCACACAATTGTCAAAATATCTAAATATTTAGCTTGTGTTTAGCTCCTGTGTGTAGGTTCAGAAATTTGACAATTATGGCTAAGTAAAGTTTGTTAAAGAGAAATAACTGAACATAACCACAGGAGAAAGTGCTAATTTTAGACAAAAATGTCAGATGAACACTTCATATATATATATATACACACAGTATACAAGTCAAAATGAGTAGCCCTCCGGTAAAATTGCAAACCTTTCTAAAATATTTCCAGAGTGCTGTTACACAATTTGTTTTCAACATATTTTTAAATGTAATAGTTTTAATAAAACAACTAATTTCTTTTGTTTTTGCCATGATTATTTGCCAGATATTAATATTCTGCTGAAAGGTTTTCCTAGATTAATTAGGTAAACTAGGTAAGTTAGGTTAAATTACAGTCAAGTCATTGAACAACAGTGGTTTGATCTGATGCTAATAAAAAACAAATCCTAAAGGGCTAATAATACTGACCTCAACATAAAAAATTTAATAAAATCTGCTTTTATATATCAGATGACTAAATGTGATGTGGATTACTGTCTGCCAGCATTAGACTGACCTGGAGCTCCACCGATAAACACTGGCGAACTGCTGCTCTGGGCTGCGTCACTGACAGACCCCACAACGTGATTCACCTCTGAGTCCACATCCAGCTGAAGCACGCTACCATCTCTGATCACTGCAAAAACAACAAAGCTTCATCATTTAATGCACCAAAATTGTCTTACTCATGTGATGATCTATGGCAAATTCAAGTGAAACCTTTAATGAGTACAGAGATTACATCTAGGTAGCATTGCTGAGAAGAAAAGGAAAAAACATTTAAAGTAACATGAAATAAAACAAATTACGATTTTAAAAGCGCAAGGATTAAAGGATTATTTCAGCCAAAATAATTTAAACTATTTTGTTAATTACTCAACCTCATATCATTTCAAACCCCTGAGGCCTTCATTCCTTCATTTTCAGAACACAAATCAAGTTATTTTAGATGTAATCCAGGAGCTCTCTCATCCTCCGCTGACAGCACTGATCCCGAGACATTCAAAGTTCAGAAAAGGAACCCAAAACATTGTCAAAACAGTCCTAGTGACTTTAGTGGTTCGACTGTAATCATGAGGAGCTCCAAGAACACTTTTGTACACCAATAAACTGCAAAAACGACCTTTGTATGACAATACATTCCTCTTCTGCGACAGGTCAGGGTGTGTTTTTACTATGGGGAGTACAACGTATTATCATTAGAGTCAGCGGCGAAAGCATCGTATTGGCCAGAGTAAACGTGCACTCTGATCTGATGATGAAGACGAGTCATTGGTTAGTCATTTTTTTTAGGGTGGTTTTGTTGGTGCACAA